ATAAATACGTTACCCGGTCGTCTAGCAAGTTTTCTGAAATGGTGACTTCCTGATCGGTTCCAAATATGTTCCAAGATATTGTAGTCTCGCAGGCGCAAAATAGCAGCAGTACAAAGGCAGCTTTACAACAGTGGCCACAGGAGTTAGAAGAACAGAAAGATGCCAGTCAGTTTTGAACAATTGCAGACTGCTGCAGCAACAGCAGGTGCAGTTTGAGAAAGCACGGGCCAAGTTGATCGAAATTCTGACCAAGAATTTGCCACTACAAGCACGCTCGGTAACAAGAACAAGTGAACATTGCTCCTCAGCAGAAACCTCGAGCCAGCAAGTTTGTGAATTCCGTTACGAGGTCGATGCCGGTATTACCTTTGAATCGTGGTTCCATAAACACGAAGACCCGTTTCGCGTTGATTTAGCCGGTGCTTCAGAGGACAAGAGAGTTCGCCTCATGCTGCGGAAAAGTTTATGAATTTCATCTTGTCGAAAAAGAACATTGATTTAACATTCGATGAAGTGGTTGCTACTTTGTCGCAGATATTTGAAAAGCAGTTGTCACTATTCAATTTTCGATTCAGGTGCCTGACAATGACCAAGCGAGAAGATGAAGACTGGGTTACTTACTCGAGACGCGTAAATCGTGAGTGTGACCGATCACTGTTTCACAAGATGACAGCTGATCAGTACATGTGCCTTATTTATGTATGTGGTCTTCAAGCAACCAAAGACGCTGATACCCGAACAAGAGTACTGAGCAGAATTGAACAAAATCCCGAGATCACACTACAGGAATTGACGAACGAATGCCAATGGTGGATGAACTTGAAGCATGATGCTGCGATGATCCAACAGTCATTCACCCATTATAACCAGAACATCATTTGCAGGGTCAGCAGAAGACCTCAGAAAAAATCGGTTCATGTGAGTTCACCATATTCTAAACCCTCTTCTGCTTGTTGGTTTTGCAGGGAATGGTACTTTGGTGGAAACTACCCGTTCCAAATCACATTTGCAATCGCTGTGGCAAGCGAGGACACAAAGAGTCGCATTGTCTTGCGAAACGATCAACAATGAGCTGAATAAGGCGGGGAATCCCGCTGCGCCTCCGATGTCACAACGACGGGACGGCGAGTTTCAAGATTGACGGCGTCAGCAGGCGTAAGTTTACAATGTTGAAGATCAATGATAAAAAGGTTAAGCCGCAGCTGGATACTGCGTCAGACATCACTTTGATTTGTCGAGACATATCGTATGCTGGGACGACCACCGATTGTCCACACAGACCATACAGCACGAAACGTGTCCGGAGGTACCTGGAAATTGTTCGGAGAGTTGTATTGTCAAGTCAGTTTCCGTGATCAGCACATTCGTACAACCTGTTTTGCGGCCGATCAACCAGGATTGAATTTGCTGGGTTTTGATTGGATGGAGGCATTGAAATTACTTGACTAGTCAGTTAACAGTATATGCCAGAAACTACAAGTCGAGAAACCCGCAGGGACGCAGTAGATGAAGCTCGAACTTTACAATCAAATTGCAGAACTGAAGCGACGCCACGAAAGTTTGTTCCAACCCGGTCTTGGATGCTGCCGGATAGTCAGAGCTGAGCTGAACCTCAAACCAGACGCCAGACCAGTTTTTAGACCAAAACGTCCAGTGCCGTACGCAACACAACCAATAGTGGAGTCTGAGTTAAATCGTCTGCAGTCGGAAGGCATAATCGAGCGGGTACATTACTCAGAATGGGCGGCACCCATCGTTGTGGTGAAGAAAGGAAACGGCAAGGTACGTATTTGTGCTGACTTTTTAACCGGCTTAAATTCCATGTTGGAGAATCACCAGTACCCTTTGCCTATACCACCAAGCTTAACGGTGAAAAATAGTTTGTGAAACTCGATCTAGCTGATGCACACCTACAAGTTCCAGTAGCCGAGAACTGCAGAACACTACTGACGGTCAACACGCATCTTGGACTTTTCCAGTACAATCGGTTGCCATTCGGAGTGAAAACCGTTCCCGCCATTTTTCAACAAATCATGGATACGCTGCTGAACGATATCCTTAGGGTCGCAGTATACCTGGATGACGCATTGGTTATGGGGTCTGATCCAAGAGCATTGCTGGCCACGTTAGAGAAAGTGCTCACTCGTCTAGAAGAAGCTGGTTTCCGGTTACGAGCGGAAAAATGCAGTTTCCTGATGGAAAGTGTCAAGTTTCTCGGGTTCATCATTGACAAACATGGCCGACGTCCGGATCCCGCTAATATAGAAGCCGTCAAGCAAATGCCACCACCAAGGGATGTTGCCAAACTTCGTTCATTTCTCGGTCTTATAAGTCATTATAGTGCCTTCCTTCCAAGTCTACATCAAACAAGAGGTCCTCCGAACGAGTTGCTGATGAAAGGGAAAGAATGGAGATGGACAAAGATGTGCCAACAAACCTTTGATATAGTTAAAGCAGCGCTCAGTTCTGATTTACTTTTGACCCACTTCAACCCAAACTTGGAGATTGTTGTTGCTTCGGACGCCTCCAATTATAGAGTAGGTGCTGTCATTTCGCACGTGTTCCCAGGAGTAGAGGAGAAGGCCATTGCGCACGCAACACGGTCGCGGAGAAAAATTACAGTCAGATTGAGAAGGAAGTGCTGGCGATGGTTTTCGCAGGGAAACGGTTTCACAAGATGCTATATGGTAGACATTTCAAATTAATCACGGACCACAAACCTTCACTCTCGAGATTTTATTCAAAGAAGGGCATTTCTGTTTTCACAGCCAGTCGGTTACAGAGATGGGTAACCCAACTGATGGCTTACGATTTCAGTATACAATACCGATCTACACAACAACTCGGCCAAGCTGACGCTCTATCTCGCCTCCTCAGTTCCCACTTGAAGGAAAACGATGACTGCGTGATTGCATCTGTCAAATTCGAGTCGGAAGTTCAGCGCATCCTGGTTGACAGTGTAAGGGAGTTGCCAGTAACGTCGGACACGATTCGTGCAGAGACGGCTCAAGACGATATCTTGCTGAAAGTGATAGGGTTTGTGCAGTCCAGTTGGCCTAATGTCAGAATTTCGAATGAGTTACAACCTTTCTTTAATCGACGCGGATCCCTTTCGGTCGTTGACAATTGTCTAATGTTCGGAGACCGAGTCGTGGTACCAAGGAAGTTGCGGAAGCGAATACTACAGCAGTTTCATTCAGGACATCCGGGAACCAGCCGAATGAAGGCACTGGCGCGAAGTTTTGTGTATTGGCCTCAAATGGATGCAGAAATCGAGCTGTTCTGCCAAAGTTGTGAATCTTGTCAACAAGCGGCAAAGGCACCTCCGAAATGTTCGTGGCACCCTTGGCCCGAGTCGAAGAAGCCCTGGCAGAGAATCCACTTGGATTATGTGGGACCAATCAACGGTCAATCTTATTTGATTTTTGTTGATTCCTACACAAAGTGGCCCGACGTGATTCCGATGCAAAATCCCACCGCCCAGCCCACTATCAATGAGCTGAACAAACTGTTCCAGTATTTTGGCACCACGGAGATGCTGGTTACAGACAACGGAGCCCAGTTCACCTCAACGCTGTTCCGAGAATTTTGCATGCAAAACGGAATCCAGCACAAGTTTTCGCCGCCGTACCATCCACATTCGAATGGGCAAGCCGAACGGTTTGTAGATACCTTTAAACGTGCTCTTCTCAAAGCGGAAGGAACGAGGGTGTCACGAGATGCAATGCAGCCGTTTTTGAGGATGTATCGAGGCGTTCCGAATCCAAACACACCGGTGGGTAAATCTCCTTCTGATTGTCTATTTGGACGACAAATTAGAACGACATTTGATAGCCTGATTCCAAGAAATGTTGGAAAACGCAACGGGCCACCGAGAGAGGGGCAGGATAAAAGGCTTCGCAAGTTCAAGATTGGTGATTTGGTGTATGCACGAAACTTCCAGATCCCGGAAAGATGGGTTAGCGGAACGGTTAGTGGAAAGAGGGGTAAAGTTATTTATGAGATAATGGTCGGAAAGGAAAAGTGGACCAGACACATCAATCATCTGCGACAGCGGCATGGCAAAACTCAATGACATCAGGAACCAGCGGCACTACAGCGGGACATACTACTGGATGCATTTGGTTTAGAAAACAGAACTGATCTCCAAAGCGGAACACAGCCGGTCGCACAGACGCCACACGACGTGACATGCAGGCCAAGTCGAAGAAGAAGGCAACCGCGATGGCTACAAGTGGACCCCAGGGTAAAAAGCTACGACCAAGCCCAAGTGCGGAAAATAGGTAGGAGCAATGAATTCAAAGGGGGAGGTAATAGAGAGGTAAGCGGAGCTAATACCCAGATACGAGGTCACGCACAGGCTTACCGCGGAGCACTGAGCTGCCTGCTGCATGTGAACGTCACCAGCAAGAGCGTGGAACGACCTTCGACTGTTTTGTCAAATTTGGGAATCGGGTGCAAACTGATTGGCCAGCAAATACAAGCCCGAGTATTTTTGTTCGTCGCAATCAGCCGACAATTCAGATATGTCGACCAGCTGTCCGGAAAAGCATCAGACGGCCGTTTCGCCCTATTGGGGCTCATCAGTGGTGCGCATCCTTCGGTCCTCTGCGGAGGATCGAACCCATGACTGCTAGTGGCTCTTGCCAACTAGCCCGCAGCTTATGCAACTGCGCCATGGAGGACGGTATCTGACTATCGTGAATTGTTAGCTCGAGTCAACGGAGCCGAACCATTCTGCCAAATATGGAAAATCCGTGGGACGGAATTAACTCACATTGGCTGAGAGCC